ATTCAATCTCTCTCCCACTTCCTCACCTCCAAAAAGAATCTTTAGGTTTTTAGCCAATTTTTTCTTCTAGCTTGATCTGATCCTTCTCTAAGAAAATATTTTACAGTCACTGGAGGAAAAGAGATGGTTACATTTTTCAGTATGAAGTGAAACAACACAGCTAAATTTTGGTTTTCCACTAAGAGTTCTAATATCTATAGTTTAAATATGCTTTCAGTTTAGCTGGAAGCCAAAGTTGAAGCTTTGTATGCTACCCTTACTTAAATGCTGCTGACGTTATTTTAACGATTCAAGTGTTTGCTTGAATTTTACTTCACTGTGAACTTTTTGAAAACTGCTCTTGCAGCATCTGCTGCCATTTTCCCATCTTAACTAAAATTTTATAGTAATAGATAAGAATTTTCACACTGCATATAGCTATCAGAACAATGAAAAGAGAATTAGTGAATAAAGCAGAGATCCATATACCTTGTTCAGTAAATTTGTAACAGAAAGCAGAATATGCAGAACTGTTGGACCCAAGCTCTTTCATGCAGAAAAAGCATTACACTAGCAATCAAACCGAAGTTGAAGTACAGACTCCACACTTTGAAGATATCCAAGTACACAGGTAAGACAAGAACTCCTGCCTGGAACTTCTCATTATGGTCTCTTGAGAATATTTCAGTGGCATCTAACCATGTAAGTCAAATATTTGGAATCTCCTTTTTTTCTCCATATATCCCACCAAAACTAACTGGTTTAACCTAAAAATTACTAAGACCACATCTCAGGAGTTTTTCCTTTCAAAATATCCCAAAACAAGAGTGAAGACCAGATCTGTGATGGACACTGGCTATCATGACATCAGGTGACCTCTAGCATCAAGGACAATGTTTAGAAAGGAGTTACCTATGAATGATAGGTCTATCCATGCATCTTGAAAGTTCCTGATTTAATCTTAAGGCACAGAAGTCTCAAACTAAGCTTCTGCTAGGTTCACATAGCGAAGGAAAATTTTAAAAGTAAAACTTCATTTTTAGAACAATTCCAAGCATTATTTCTCTACTTAAATATACGCAACCTGAAGCAAAGAACAACTGTTACATAAGCTGAACCTCTTACAGTAAGATTTTTTTCCAATCTTCCCAATCCAAAACAAGATTTACCTTTTTCCAGGCCTCTCCAATAGATTCATGCAAGCCATAAGGAATTAGCACCTGCAGGCCTTCACAAGTTCTGTACATCTGACGACATACAAAAATGAACGCTCCTTTAACAACTGGCAAATTCTCGGATCCAGATAAAAGAGCAATGTCATCACGAAGAAGTTTCTTTGTAAACTGAACAATTACATGAACAGCTGTAGGACTAGAAATAAAATAACAGTTTTAAAATGTTGTTTTGTAGTCATCAATAAACCTTGAAACAAATCCTTTGACTAAACTTATTTAAATTTTTCTAGGGGAAAAGAAATTACCGAAAGAAACTACAACCCGCTATGGAAGGTCCAACTATATTATAACTTTTAACACCAGTCAGAAGAAATGTACAGCAAGTGATTTTACTTTGGCTACAGGTCTACTATAAAGCACAAATGCATCGATTGTTTTCCATCCAGCCCACATAGCCATGAAATACACAGACTGTACGTTTTATAGAAGTCCAGTTGAGAAGAGTAACAAGACAATCATTTTAGCTTCTGCTTAATCAGTGTTAAGGATATCACTAAAAGGCAAAATTTGTCCTTGTTCTTCCTTTTTCCTATCTGAAATCTCCTTCTGAAGTCTTCCAGGATTGCAATGCAAAGGACAACTCTTTCTCCAAAATACCATCTTTTACTTCCAACCTCACTTAAGAACATACACAACTTCTGAGATTCCTTCACTTAGGAGACATACATTCCATATATTTTCATGACCTGCAGCTTAGCTATTTTTAAAAGCTAATCTCAATTTTACTGCCCAGTTTCAAGTTTTAGCATCAGCTAACAAAATACTACCAACAGGATCACACAGATCCTAAATTAGGTACAGTGTTACGAACGTCAGCTTCTGATACAAGATCTGTATCTACTACATGTATTGAAAAGTGAATGCTACATTAAATCTATTCTTTCAATAAGTTAGGTTGATTTTTAATATTTATCCTAAAAACAAACAAACAAAAAACAGAGAAGAAAGGCCTTTGGCCTGAACAGCAGCACTATGAATATAACGGAACTACATTCAGAGAAAGGAAAGCTCTCACATGGATAAGAAAAACAAGTAAACCATGGAAATCTCCCTTAATAAAAGTGTTGCTATAAATTGTCATTTCACATGCTTATAAACATAAATGTCTCCCTAATACATTATCTAAAACACTTACTACTTTACTTGATGATCAGATATTTTACTCCAAACATAAACAAATCACGTTATAGATAAATGAAAAAACAGAAAATGAGTCTCATAAGACTAATGTAATTCATTAAAGTACTCACTAATGCTATTCATTAATGCACTCTTACCTATCTTCTTTGGCAGTTTTTTCATTTTCTCCATATAGAAGAAGAGAAAGACCATCTTCTACAGCAGCAATCCTTGCCAAAATATCAGCTACATCAATTAAAGTAGTTTCAAGACAATTTATATACACCTATTTGGAAAGAAAAAAGTTTTCAATTCAATGCTTTTGTGAAAGCTGTTTATTCAAGTCTGGCTTACATATGCAGAACCCGAAGGTCACCTTTCTGATGATTGCTTAATGGCCTAAACAAAATAAGTAAACAGCCTATGTTCAAATGCCCTCACACAGAAATCTTCATCACAAATGGCAATAATTGTCATTTTTAATGATTATGGCACAAGTTTAATGACTGCACAGATACAGAGAACAGACATTTCTGAACTCCTTTTCTCTTTTGCCACCATGAATGTGGAAAGGCTCTTGATACGTCATCTAGGGGTATAACAGCAATCAAGGTGAGAAACACGCTAACTCCCTCACTGCTTCATATGCATTGGCAACTCTTTGGCTAGAAATGGAATTTCTAGTTCCCAGGAAGGTCTTCGTGTCCACCTCACTTCTAGGCTGCAGTAGGCCCAAACAGCTTTGGAATCATGAGGAAAGTCTTTCCCACTGGAGCAAAGCAAAAGTTATCTGCCAATTCCTTATTCAATTCAGAGCACTGTATAGGCACAACTACGCTGTAATCAAAGCGGACCAATATTTAACACTGGGGTTCAGACTGTTCAGTCTGGTATCATCACTAATGAATGCACCACCCAAATTAATGCTCAACTGGTCATTGGTCATTAACAAGTGAAGTCAATATTCCAATAGCAGACAAGCTGTGACAGTGTGACACTCCCCCCACCGCTCCCCCAACCTTTATCTCCCGTAACCCTGCTCAAGTGATAACCACCAGTGGCAGTCATAACGGACATGTCTGGTCATGATGGCTGCATCTGGCTCAAAGTGGATTCAGGAGACAGATAACAACGCAATAGCCAAGGCCTATCGTGCAATGTGCCCACCTAATCACAGTGAAGAAACTAAAATCTGTGGTCAGTACACAAACGCAACTATGAGCCAGTCATTTTACCCCCATAAATAGTGAGCAGCCCAAGAACCCTTGGAGCTCTCTTGCACAGCAGCGGGCTGCACACCAGGATCTCCCCTTGAGTCCCTTACCATTGAACCTTGTTAACTCACTGGTTTATATCAATAAAGTATATTTTTGCTTCTCTCTCTTACGAGTGAAGTGCATCACTCCCTCCATCTGTGACACAAGCAGAACATGGGTGCTCCATGAAGAACCCATCAGGGAGCAGCAAGGTCAGGATAGTCTGCAAGGGACAAAAAGCCAGGAACTGAGTGTGATAACAAGGCAGGCAGAGGCAGTGGCTTGCCATCGGATGAGCAGGCAATCCCACTATACCCAAGCAAGGTGAGCAGACAAAGTCCAGTGATAGCAACTAGGTTCACCCAACAGCCCAGATCCCCTCCACAGTGATGAGGGAGGTCCAAGGTTAAGCCAGAAAGCCGAGTCAGTGAGTCAGGGTCAGCTCCAGACAGAGTAAACAGAGTCAGACACAGCCCAATGATTACCAGGGAACCAGATCTATAGTGACAAAGCAGGTATGAGGTAAAGCAAGCAAAGAAGTGATGTCTGTGGGGCAGGGTTCAGATCAATGGGACATTAGGCTTCCAGGCAGCTACAACATAGTACAGGCAGGAAATGAGGACAAGAATCTCAGCTTAAACAACACTCCTGAGTGCAAGGTGGAGCGAGTCCACACCAAGGTTTATTAGCAGAGTCATCACTGGGGGATCTCTGCTGAGGCTTCCTAGCAGAGCTTTCTCAAACAGCTCTCTTCAAGGCTGGACACCCACACTATTACCTATGCTGGCCCTGAGCCCAGGCTACCAAGCCCAGGGGAGGGGAAATAATGGGGAGATGTGCAGAGGATCTGACAGTAAACAGCAGCTGTAATTCCAGAATACTTACGCAGTGTCCTAAAGGTACTCAGCAAAACTCTGTTCCTGTCCATATGCCTCAATAATTTATTTGGTCATAAGATAATCAGAACGTACCTTCTCATCCAGGGACTGAGAAACACTCCAAATTCCTAGGACTTATACACAAATGTACTCACAAAGAAGGACAGTTTTCAAAGTGAGAAGTCCTCTTTGGCAGCTTCCCCCTACCCACACCCAGGACAACAGAGCAGAGTCAACAGCGAGATGAGCTAGGGGAGATTACTGTTCCCAGTAACACTTGTTAAATATCTGGTATGTCAGAATGGGGAATAAAGCACCACTCTCCTGAAGCTGAATCCACTGCTTAAATCTTTTCCACTCTTCTGTTATTCATCAAGGACAGCTGTACTCACAAGAGAAATTATTTTTTAAAATGCTATGCAGTCCAGCTCCTGCTGCTTCTCTTACAGGTAGCTCTATATTTTATATAGTGCACAGGGGAAAAATAGTCTTCCTACTTTAAAATTTAAGGAATTTACTATTAACACAGGTGGTCAAAGTAACCCAAGAGAAATATACCATTTTGACTTCGGTTTATTAGTTACAATTTTCAATGATACAGAGGGTTAAAAACCTCCCTGACCTTTTATTTTTAGGTTACTATGTATCACAGTTCAGGATTCTAAGAAAGGAACACACTGCTGTCACTGTTTCTTCAAGAGTGTTATTATTTTGCTTTCCCTGTGCAACACCAAAAAAAAAAACCCCAAAACATGGTACTTTATTTAAAATGCGAATGCAATGTTCTGCACCAGCTGTGCTTCAGCAGCAACGCAGAGGCTACAGAGCCCAAAAGGTCAATACTGCTGCCCACAAGCTGATCCTTCTGACAACTCCTACCTATAGCCACCAAGTTTGTCCTTCCCTCCACTACAGATACACAATACTACTCTGCTTAAAAGGCAAATAAGGCTTGTACTTATCTGAGTGAATTCAGAGCTCAAATGTAAAACAACAGCATTGTGTTTGCTCATTAGGCCCACTGTACAACCAAGGAGCTCCATATGCAGCTCCAGCACTACCCACCCCACAGCACCAGCTGAAGAAAGATGCATGCGTGGCCGTAGCCTTCCTTTTGACATAGGCATGGTCCAGTATTAGCATCCAGCATTAGGATTCCTGGGTTTCTATGAAGTGCCAATGGTTTGGTTGGGAAGAAAAACCAGTTCAAATTCTTGTAAAAGGGGAAGAGGGTCGCTCTGACTTGGTCTACCTTTTCTAGCTATTGGTTTGCCAGATGCAATACAAAACAATTTGTACCTTCGTTAGAACAAATATGACATATTCCACATTCACAACACATAACCAACCTACTAAAGCTACTGTATATTAAGTACTCCTGAACATGACCTATTTTTTTAAACAGACCAGTTACTAAGTCACAGGAGGGCTTACAATTTGTTAAGAGTTCAGCTACCTATGACAGACAGCTGAGCACAGCAGAAACAAAAAAAAAAAAAGGAAGAACTGTTAAAGGAATTATCTCAACGTTTAACTACTAATGTATAATAAAGAAGAGAGACAGTTGTATATGCCTTAGAATATCATGTGACCATAGAGATTGCCTGGGGGATTACACAGGCATCCATCACAACAAATCAATGAAGTATTGCCTTAGTACTGTTTTTAAGTTTGACTGTCAGTGTTCAAAGCATATGCAGGCTCAGTCATGTTTTGTATTTGAAAAAATTTGCACTAAATTTGTGTGATGTACAGTAAAAACAAGACAACTTAAAGTTTTAATCTTGCAAAAGCATCCATAGGTAGCCTTATAATAAAACGTGTAAGTAATGCTACTGCATTACAGATACCCACAGAAGAGCTAAATTATTGACATGATCAAGTTTTTTCAGGACTATGGTTTTAAGCATTACAGAAATACATACTTTAAAATATTTACTCGGAAACCGACTGTTTACACTTTTGAAATAGCTTGGGAATATTTCTGTATGGGTAAAAATATTTTCAGGAATTAATATGAAGAGACTTTTCTGAAAAGTAAACAAACGCACTGAAAAAATAATCAGAAGGGTACCGACAAAATTCAACTTTCAGAACCTAGATGACGTATTTAAGTTAGGAACCCAGACTGTCTTTGCAAGCATGAGTCTCAGGAAGTAAATTCAAAACTTCTCAGCCATTAATTTTTCTCAAAGTCTCTTTATGTAAGACAGCTCAGGCTCCTCCATGGGCATTTCAGACCCTCAGCCTCTCTGTCTTGAGACTTAGAGTCACCTAGATCAATTAAATCATCTCAGTCAAAACAAAAACAATAGGGCAAGCTGAAACCATAACTAGACCTTCAAGTACCTAGAGGTAGATAGTATTTCCCAAGATTTTTACAGTTCTTATAGAAATGATTAAAAAAAAAAAACCCATACAAACAAAAAACAAACTCCTTTTACCAATTCAGAAAATAATAATTTTCCATGAAGAATTACGTATTTTACCTATACTGATTATTGAGAACACTTAACTTCAAGCTGCCAGCTGAATTTAAAAAGTAATAAAAGCAGGTTGCCTTTTAAATAGCAGGTAGAGCAAATAAGCATCCAAGAAATATCCAAAAGACACACAAAAATGTTGGAAGAAAAAAAAAATTAAGCGATACGATTTTCCCAAGGGAATGGTCTCACTACAGCACAATTTTTGCTACTATTCACAAGATTTCAAGAAAACCAAGTTTGTCAGACCAATCACAATGACAGCCTATGCTATTTAGAGCATACTATTATAGCTAATATAGAAAATACTACAGCAGTTACTAGGAGACTAAACGAATCTTCTACATAGAAAATACAGAATGAATATATTCTATAGATTCAAAAATATTTGGAAGATTACTACAAACCTCTGTGCCACTCAGTAAACTTTGAACAGGATGAAGTAGGGCATCTATCACTGCATCCGTATATAAACATTCAGCAGCACATTCTGTTTGATCGCAAAAAACTTGCAGAATCTCCATAACAAGACTTGCTGGAGAATAATTGTCTGGTGAACACAAGAAGTATTTGTTTATATTTTATCTTACACAAACATACCTACATGGCTTATGTAGATGCTTCTGAATTCTAATTTTGTTAGGCACTGATTTAACACAGTTAGAGGGAAGAAGAAAAGGTAAGGGAGGAAGGGAAGAGAAAAATCTGCACAAATTACAGACCCAAATTAAAAATTGCGAAAGTTACCAGATGCCTTATTATAACTACATATATTAGCATATATTAAAAACAAACATTTACCTGTATGCGCTGCCAAAGCTGCCTTTGGGTAACTTGGAGAGTAATAAATAAGCTGAGTAAATAATACCAACAGATCGGTTATGGATACACTATCTATTAAAAAAAAAAAAAAAAGAGGAAATTACTCTGCAAATTAAAGTGCAACTTTAATTTTACAAATGAAATGGATTTTGTAAATATATGTGAACGATGTTTTGCTTTATTGAGGAAATCAACATACGTACAACTGATAAAGCAAAGGACATACACGTCCCTGGGACTCTACCAAGGTATTTCATGATCAACTTATAAGGCTTGATCTTGCTCCCAATTTAGCCAATAGCAATTTTACTGTGTCTTCAATTGAAACAAATGGCAGACAAAGTTTGAGAAAGCTGAATATACACAGCTGTAGGAAAAAGCATTACCTTGCTATTAGATTAAGTGAAACAACTGGAAAAGAGACAAGCTGTCAGACAACTCTTCCTCAGGTCTGAAACAAAGTAACAAACATGTAGCTAAATGCAGGTTGGAAGCTATTGCTCCAAGTTTAATGTAATTATGTTAATAAATCAGACAATTTGTGGGGAAAG